GACTGCTGCCACTCCCCTGTTGACTCTGCCTGCGCCTCTCGCGGCGGTGGAGTACAGGAGTCGATGGGAGAGCGCTCGGAGACTAGACGCGATAAATCGACCCCCGCTGGATCGATTGCTGCCCGCCGATCTGGCGGGTAGTATAGACATACCCTAAAATAACATTTGAAAGAAAATTTCAAGCAGATTGCTGTGTTCATTGAAATAATACTGTTGCCTTTAAACATTTAAATTTTTTTGTACTGTTATATATTGGATTGTAAGATTTAATAAAAATAGACTTTGTGGAGTTGTATCTTCTCATAAAAAGAACTGGTACATCTTGCACTATTTTATTTTTAGGTATGTGTCTTTCACAAGTTGCTGCAAAATTATCGACAAGGGTTGTCACTTTCACTGCTGTTTCAAAAGATAACATGTTTGGGCTATGGTGAAAACAAATTACAGCCCCTTATCTAGAAAAAACATCTTCTAATGCTGCTGGTACACAGAAGTGGGGCTATGCAGCTACTGAGGCTTCTCCCTCAAGTGGTTATTTTTCCCTCACTGATGTAGGGTTTTTTTTTTTAAATTGCTTGTGACTGCTCTCCCTTCTCCAGTTAGGAGTCCCTAGCCCATGGCTAAATCAATTGCTATTTGCTCTGAGCATTCTACAGAGGGAGTGTGGAAGGGGAAAATTATTCCCTAATTAACAGCCAAGGAATAATTTTAACGAGGAGGCCTGTCAGCCTGAAAACAGAACTCCTTGTGTGACAGCTGTGTTTTGTTGCTCAACTGTGGACAATAATAGTTCATTGGGCTACAGAGTCTCCCAATTGCCTTTTCATTTTCTGTTTTGTGCATGTGTGTGTATTAGTGGGGGTTATTAATGAGAAGTGGTTATTGGGGTTGCTAAAAAGAAGTGTCCCCTCCCACCCCTGGAAGTCTGGTCTGAAGCTGAGTTGAGACTATGTGGAGTAGGGCCTGAAGAAGAGACAGTCCAGGATGTATATAGGGAATAGTGGAGTCAAGGAAGCAGAATGCTTACTTGATAAAGCTTTCTCCAGTCCCAGGCATTAGTGCAATTCCTCAGCAGAGTATGATTCAGAAGTGCAAATCATTGGTAGCTATAGCTGTATTCAGGCAAATCGAATCTCTGATTCCATCTAAAAATCAGGATCGTTCCATCAAGCTAATTTGCCACTTGATAAATTGGGCACTAGTTCTCAATTGTGCAAAAATTACTATAAGATCATAATTGTATAACCCCCCAGTGTGTAATTATGGTCCATTTTGATAATATTATTTGGGGTGTGTTGAATCTGTAAACAGTGCATGCATTTACAGTAAATCTCTGCAACTACACTTCCAATTAATTCTTTTTAATGAAAATACTTGGTATATTGCAAATTGATTGCTTTTCTAAGTTCAATGCTGTGGTAATTTTTCTTTTAGCACCTAAAGAGTTTGGTCCACTCTTAAACACTAATTGCTTACAATTTTTTTAAAACTGAAGCCATTTTAAAGTTAACTTAAACTTGGTAACTTCTTAGCTTTTCTCTTTGCCAACATAAAATTAGCTTAAACAAATTATGCTCAATAAAATTCCTCTCTTTAGGCCTTGGATAACACTATTTCAGTCTAAAGATAATTTTAATGACTGAATTACAAACCATCTGAAAATAATGGTTTAATAGAGGTGCTAGCTCACCCTTAGAAATGGTAATGTTGCAGTGGGTTTTGCTATACATATATAATGGCAAAAATAATCACGAGCTTCCAAAGTACACCACAAAGCAGTTGGTAACTACATGCCTGTACACTAACAATATTCTTTGTTTTTTTTTCTCTAGTTTCTCTGCTTGAAGAATATAAGAACATTCCTTTCAGCATGTTGTGAGATATTTGGGATGAAGAAAAGTGAACTTTTTGAAGCATTTGATTTGTTTGATGTGCGAGATTTTGGAAAGGTAATTTAAAATTTCCTGTTTACTAATATCTTCTTTTTTGGCTGGATAAAGTGGTTATTGGGTAATGCTTGCCATTAGTTTTATATAGCAACTACCTTGATGCAAAAGAGAGGTTTGGTCTGGTTTTGTTTTTTTCACACTTGTGTTGCCTTTTTCTTTTCTTTAAGTCATAGTTGACAGAGGCCACCTGCCTGGGTGTTTTAACCATTGTGTCCTTTAGTTCTGCTCAGAGCAGACAACCCAGTGGCTAGAATTGCAGTGGCCAATGTACACTAGCACTTCCCATCATTGGTGCTACTGGTGATGCACTAGTGCTAGCACTGTTGGAAGACTTTAGGGGAAAAATGTAGTGTAGGAGAGGTCAAAGAGGTCAAACACCTAATGTTCTACTGATGGATTCACCTCTTGGTTCCTCTCTTGGTTTGGCTTGCTCACAAGGGCTGTTCTGTTGGGAGCAAGTTACAGGCAGAAAAGGAGCAATGTTATGGGGCAGTGAAGGACCATACAGTGGATTGGTGTCCTAAGGGAAAATGTGCACAGCTGGAGGAGCAGGGAGTAGCAGTGGTGGGTGATGAGAAGAGGAGTCTGGGCTGACTGTAAAGTCAAGTCACTTGGCGCTCCATATCTTTTGGGGGAAGCCTCCTATCCCATGCAGGCTCTCAAGCTCTTGGAGTGACTCTACCTTCCTCTCCAGCAGTGGGACTTAGGAGGGGGGAAACAGTAACTCTCAGACCCTTCATCCCCACCCCCTTGTGGTGAAGGGAAAGGAGTGATAGGCAAGTCCAGACTTGAATTCTGTTCCCCCACTTCTAGTTGCTTGAAGCCACTGTGTTGTCTGTGGGCCTGCAAATTGTAAGGCTTGGCACTTAGAGGAGTAATGGGAAGAAGAAAAGGATGATAAGAGTGCCTAAGCATGGGGAGGGAGAGAAAAGTGAGGTTTTTGTATGAACAACAGGTGGTAACAGTAGTTAGATGACATGACAGTGGAAGTGGGATGTCCCTAACCTGCAGCATCACCGTCTTTGCACCTATAATTTTTTTCATTGTCTAGGCTGGCAGAAATGGATGTACATTTAGTACAGACACTCAGTCTGGTTTGAAAATATTGGAGAAAAGACAATCAGACAGCAGGAACATGCTGTGGCAGGCAAATGTCCTGGTGTTCAGGACTACGGTCTGTGGGAACAAATCTGTTACGTACAGTTAGTGTGTCATAATGGATATCCCAATTGCATGACAGGGCAAGCAGTCTCTGAAGTCTGGGGAAAGGATATAATTGCCAACTGTGTCCACAAATAGCAGGTTCATTTTAATAAGAAATACAGACATTAAGATTATATACAGTGGAATTGTTTGAGCAAAGCCCTCTTTTGATGATTACATCTGAATGAACACTACATGCAGGTCCATGCCAATGTTCTAATAGGCAATTTAATGCCAAGACAGGTCAGTTTGGTTATAATTAGCACTCCCACAAGCTACTACATTCTCTACCTGTGCCACTCACAAAGGTGCAATTTGTGTTCTGCCTTTCAAAAACCAAATAAACCCTTTTCGTCTGATCCTTACAACTGAATGTTCATTGTTCAGTATAAATGAGGCCCAATTTATCACCATATGTAGGACCTGGCTTTTGGCAAGTATGGTTTGATAGATTCATGTAGCCAAATGATCACTGAAAATAGTAATCTACATAACATAGTTCCACCATGTTGGCTCTTCATGTACCTTTGGATTTCTTATGTTTTTTCTACATTTTTTGCCCTAAAGCAAACCTTACAAGTAGTCTTCCTTTTGCTTGCTTTCTTCATAATAGCACATTTACCTTGCTATTTGGTGATGGAAGGACTTCTGTGCACAGGCGAAGTAGATATGACCAAAGGGATAGGTATTTAGTATAGGAGGAGGGTGGGAAAGAGAGAAGGGGAGGGTGAATGAGAGACAGAGAATAGAGGGTCAATGAAGTAAAAGAAGGGGCATGAGAGAGGGGAAAAAGAGGGTTGGGAACTGTGAAGAGGAAAGCTTGGCTTGAGAAGGAAGAGGATAGATGAGGGAAGATAATGGGTAAGAAGGATGTGAGAGATATGGGGTTATGAAGGAGTTAGGCTGGTTGAGCAGAAGGAAGGGAGGTGCTCCAAGTGTAGATATATCCATAGTTAAAAGGGGGGAGGGATAGCTCAGTGGTTTGAGCATTGGCCTGCTAAACCTAGGATTGTGAGTTCAATCCTTGAGAGGGCCACTTAAGGATCTGGGGCAAAATCAGTACTTGGTCCTGCTAGTGAAGGCAGGGGGCCGGACTCAATGACCTTCAAGGTCCCTTCCAATTCTAGGAGATAGGATATCTCCTTTAATTTAATTTAATTTAAAAATAGTGGTGGGGTGCCACAAGCCAGGGGCCCTTCCAGTCTGGAACTGCTTGACAACTCTGGCATCTTTTTTTTTTTTCAAACAGTTTTAAGATTTAACTCCCTCACCCTCCTTGTCTGTTTAACATGTGACAGAGCTCCAAAGTACCATTTTTACTGCTATAAGACTGAGACACAATGATGATTAGTTACTGTGGGCAACTCTGAATTATAAAGAGCTATGTATGTAAACCTGTGATTAGTTTTTCTGTGTGCAAAAGCTGGCTTTCTCTAGTGTATTGTTTGTAACCTCCTACATACTTGTCTGCTCTCTGCCGTTGCCAGCATGTATTCAGCACGGATTTCTACTTCTGAGTCAGTGCATCACTCCCCTAGTTTAACAGAAGAGCCTATAATTATCTAAAGACCATGCCATATTAAAAATATTCCAAATCAGAACAAATATCACAGTAATAATTTCCCCTTTTTTAATATCTGAAGATACAATATTTCCATTACTTTTTATACATTGCACTTTATAATAGACAGGAGGTCTGATTCTTATTTACACTAAGGCCCCTTTAAGCTGCCTAAGGCTACGTCTATACTTACCTCCGGGTTCGGCGGTAAGCAATCGATCTTCTGGGATCGATTTATTGCGTCTTGTCTAGACGCGATAAATCGATCCTGGAAGTGCTCGCCGTCGACGCCGGTACTCCTGCTCCGCGAGAGGAGTACGCGGAGTTGACGGGGGAGCCTGCCTGCCGCGTGTGGACCCGCGGTAAGTACCTTGTAGTTCGAACTAAGGTACTTCGACTTCAGCTACGTTATTCACGTAGCTGAAGTTGCGTATCTTAGTTCGAACTGGGGGGTTAGTGTGGACCAGCCCTAAGTGATGTAAAGAGACCTTAGTGTAAATAAGAATCAAGCCCATGGGGTTGCTTTCTGGTCCTGGTGATTGAAGTGGCTCACTGAGCATATCTAACTACTTTTGTTTGATCGTTTGTGCAATATAAAGAGATTGGCAAACCAAGAAATTCCACCTGTCCTTTTATGCTACTGTACATTTTTTGCCATACTAGGAATAGTTAAGATATAGCATTGTACTTCCAGTCTTTTTCTTTCAAACTTGTTATATTGCCTATTCAAAAATACCAAAGATTTTTTCTTGGTTCTGTGAACAGCAGAGGAATTAAAACAAAAAGTCTTTTAACAGCTACTGTTGCAGTGACTGCTCTACCAGGTATTCAGTTGTTTGCTATAATTTTAGGGTCCTTATCTAGACCTTTGTGTCAAGCCTTTGCTACTTGTTTAAATAGGCTAAAAAGTGCTTTATGATAGAGTAGCATTACTGTTGATTTCTAGTTAGTTGTTGAGAGAGATCCTGGTTCCCATAGTTACTCTAATATGACCATAAAGGACCTGATTTTTAAGACAGCCACTAATCTTGAAGGAAATTTTTTGCAGATTCAGTTAGTTACTGGTGCAACATTGTACCTGTGAAATAACACCCTGGATTGAGGCCTGTCTCAAAAATGTAGCTCACAATGTATCAATGGCTATTTCACACATGGCTTTTGTGGTTTATGCTTTGTAAAGTTGTGTTCCAAAATAAACTTTTATCTTATGTAAAACTGAAATAGAATAATGTAAGCTGGCATTTGCAGAGATACTATCTCTTTCATGAAAGATTTTAACTATTGCATTTCTCTTCTCCCAACACAAAATTAGCCTTAATAGTACATCATTTCTTTTATGTATATATTGTAGTGAACAACATGTGCTAGGTGCTGTACAACATATAGGAAGGAAGAGATAATTCCTGTCTTTACAGTATTTGACAATTTCATTGTCTGTGCTGCTCAGTGTCAGGGGCCTAACAATGTCTGAAAAGTCAGCAATTCCTGCTGTGCATGCATGCAAACATGCTTCCATAGTCTTAGGGTATGTCTACACTACGAGAGTAGTTCGATTTTAGTTAAATCGAATATGTGCAATCGATATTAGAAAGTCGAACGTGTGTGTCTACACTAAGGACAGTAATTCGACTTTGTCAGTCCACACTACCAGGGAAAGCGTCGACATTGGAAGCAGTGCACTGTGGGCAGCTATCCCACAGTTCCCGCAGTCCCCGCTGCCCATTGGAATTCTGGGTCGAGCCCCCAATGCCTTCTGGGTAAAAAAATGTGGCGAGGGTGCTTTTGGGTAACTGTCGTCATCCGTCAGTCACTACCGCCCTGCCTCCCTCCCTGAAAGCGCCGGCGGGAAATCAGTTCGCGCACTTTTTGATCAGTGACAGCGCGGACGCCACAGCACTGCGATCATGGATCCCGCTGCGACCATCGCTGCAGTTGTGGCCGTTCTCAACGCCTCGCACCTTATCATACACCTTACCCTGAGGCAGATGCAGAGTAATCAGGCGAGGAGGCTACGGCACCGCCGTGAGGGCCTGAAGTCGGAGAGTAGCACAGAGCTGTCAGAAACCACGAGCCCCAGCGCCCAGGACATCACGGTGGCAATGGGGCATGTGGATTTTGTTGAACGGCGATTCTGGGCCCGGGAAACAAGCACGGACTGGTGGGACCGCATAGTGCTTCAGGTCTGGGATGAATCCCAGTGGCTGCGAAACTTTCGCATGCGGAAGGGGACTTTCCT